TTTAGGCATTACTATGTATTTTATTCTATGTCCATGGTGTCATGAACTCGGAGTTTTAAGAGACAAGCTATTTAATTCTATTTATTAATCACTATCTATTGCTATTTTGGCCTAATAGTCTGTTAATCACATATACTGGTAACCCCTAACGTACTATTATGTCTTTGGGCAGTATGTACAAACATTCACTAACCTTTTTGTTATTCATTACCTTTCTTTTAATAATTGACTATACTACCTTTGCCTTTGAAAATTTTTTTCAGTGTACAACTTTTAACAACTATACATTGTCATAAAATTAATCATTTATTTACACTGGCAGTTTTACACATCTGACTTAATAACAAAATATATGATGGTTTTATAAATTTTCCAAAGCCAAATATTCGAAATCATGCATAAAATAATCCCTAAAAATGTAGAAACAGTTTCTTCTGAAACAAAGCATCATATGGCAATAATATAATGCAATAATCTATTAGATGCTATCTCTATCTTCAGCCCATGGAATGAGCTAAAAAGGTTGAATGAGTTTGCTTATGTGAAGAAAAGGTGATGCTAGTCCTTGCTTGCTCTTTTTGTCCCTTTCTTTTAATTTAATTCATTTTTTTCATTCATACTTTTTGTGTTCTTTCTGGAAAAGCCCAAATAGAAAAAAAAGAATGTTTAAAAAACTTAGCTAGAAAAAGGGTGAAATACAGTGATCACAGTACATCCTTAGAGATCTTTTCTGTATATATTTGTATTTCCCCATAAAAGCATAATCATTCTGAACCTTTAATATTATTTTTCTTAATGTTTTCTTTAATCTCTTGTACAGACTATACATAATCTCATGCGGCTCACCTTCACAAACCATATAGTTTAGCAAGAACTTCATCTGTATTCTTTATTTGTTTTAGAAATCTTTTCTATTCATGCCACTTAGAAATCTTCAGAGTTTGGATTTGCCTGTGTATCCTAGGAGTAGGGAGAATCCATATTTGATATGAGTGCCAGCTAAAGCTAAGCAACAGATACCTTCTTCCCATTCCCCATCAACAGTATCTTTCTAGGTCTATAAATATTTACTAATATGCACATTTTTAAAAGTACATTCTATTTTATTGATTAACATAATTCATTTAAACTGGACATTCATAGATTTTTTCTCATGCTTTTGTTTTGTTTGTTCTTTGCAAATACTAATTGTGCAATAAGTATCACTGCAACTGGATCTGTACATGTTGCTGAGATTTCTCTTAAATCCTGAAAGTGCAATTGCTAAGTTAGAGGTTATGAACATTTATATAAAAAGTTTTGGGAGCAGGGAAGGTGGCTCAGTGGTAGAGCGCTTGCCTTGCATGCATGAGGCACTGGGTTCGATTCCTCAGCACCACATAAGCAAAAAGAAAAAAGCCAGAAGTGGCGCTGTGGCTCAAGTGGTAGAGCGCTAGCCTTGAGCTGAAGAGCTGAGGGACAGCGCCCAGGCCCAGAGTTCAGGCCCCACGACCAGACCCAAAAAATAAAATAAAATAATAAAAATAAAAATAAAAAGTTTTGATACATATAGCCAAGTTTCTTTTCAGAAACAGTACTGAGAATCCCAAAAGCAGCACTGAAATTTATATTTTCAGATTCTTACCAACTTTCTCACTTAAAGCAATTGCTAATTTGATAGGCCTGCTTTCCCAACTACATTTTTCAAATGGTTGCCGTGCTTATACATGCATTGCTACAAAGTATTCCTTAAACCAAGAGTCCCAAAACAATAGTTTTGTTTACCAAACAAATGTTGGCTGGCAACATTTTTTTGCTTGAGTTTTACATGTACCAAGTGAATAAAGAAAAGTGAAGATAAGTACTGTAATATCCTAGCTTCAGTCTCCCTCCTCTTAAAACATCTCAGCCACGTACATCTCAGCCAAATTGGTAACCTCATTGCTTTTGATCTCTAAGTTTCAAGGAGATGAAAAACAGATTCATCTTATAAATCTTTTAATTACTTTTCTTTTTATATTATGAAAGTTGTTAGTGTACAAAAAATGGGTGTCCATATAATCAAATTGTCATTTAAACATTTCAGTTTGTAGTTAGCTTTATTCCTGATTTTAACTTAAGTTCTTTATCGCCTTTGTATACAATTAATAAAATCAAAATGGAAAATTACAGAATTCAATAAGAAATATTTTGTGAGTATATCTGACTTCCTTAAAAAAGCAATATGCTTATGGTACAAGTTCTTATATAATGAACACTAGGTTAAACTATGAGATGTTTGAAGACTTGGTTTCAATTAAACTTTTCAAAGCCATGTCATTCTTTTTATGATGTCAGCATACTATAAAAATCCTATGTTGTATGTTTATTTCCCTCAAAATCAATGAAATAGATATTTGAGAGCAAAGCATTTCATAAAGAGAAACTTAAAGATATTCTTGTTCTGAGTGTTTCATGAATGGATAATGATAGTGGTGAGGATAACAGTAAGAAAGAAAAAGAGACTTTTTGTTGCCCTGATTATCTCTCTGGCATTCTGCTCAATACCTTTGTTCATGCTTTCACTTTTAATAAATTAGAAAACTAAGTTTTAGAAAGGTGAAACATTCTCCTCAGAGCACATGGTTAAATCAGTAAGTCAAACATCAAACCTGATGTCCTTGGCACTCATTGCAACCTATTCCCCATGACATAATGTAGCTGCATAAAAGCTATTCTAGACTTTTTAATCTCAAAGTTTTTAAAACAATAGTTGCATTATTATTTCTATAGATGCTTTAAATGTTCAGGTAGTACATGTTGACGGTTTTAACCTTATCATTATTTCCTAAATGAATATTATATTTTTGATTTATTGAGTTTTTGCTTTAGATTCATTGTTCCAAAGTCTATATACACTTCATATGTGTATATGTATGTGTGTGTTTATATATATATGTATATATATGAAGGATAAAATAGTACACTTTGCTGTATTTTTTTAAAATTTCACACTGAATCTTTTCCCTAATAAATATTTTGAGAAAATGTGTGTAGATTAATAAAATTAACACATGGTTCTATCCTTTAAATTTTTTTCCCCTGGATGACCAAGATATTGCTCACTTTTCATCATCACATCTTAGAGATGTATATAGAGATTTCTATTGACTTTATTATCTTCAAATATTTGTACAAAGGGGTTTCAATCTAACATGTCCATTTATGTGTACAATATGTTCATCAGTCTCATCCCTTCCAGTATTCTTCCCTCCCTACATCCATCCCATTTTCAGCCATCTCTTGAGAGTTACTAGTTCCATATTAACATACGTACTTGCGAATTATCGCTGTTTGTTAACCATTCATCTCTGTTCCTCTATATCCCTCCTTGTAATCTTCACCTCTCCCTCCCCTAAGAGAAGATATGCTTTAGCTTCCTGGTATTCATTTTGTTAAACTGCTTCTTAATTGTTCAAAGGGTTTACACCATGGAAATCCACCCCCAACATATACTATGCTTCAGTCAGTTTGATCATGTATATCTACTTATGGTCCTGTGTGTGTGTTTCTTGACTTTCTATTCCTTTTATTACTTTGTTTATATGTTAAGTACTTTTAATTGCATAATTACTAATTGCTAGTTTAAATTTATGTTTCAAAAATAAAAATTTTTTTCCTTACAGTTAGAACTTGCTTATCAGAACAAGCTTAGAGCACACATTTTGACTTTCTAATAGTAGGTTAAAACTGTTGTGATATTATGCATAAATAAATTTAGCTATTTCTACAATCTGGTAATTATTTTTCTGAAAGCCAGAATGAAATTTGACCTTTATTTTTGGAACATTGATTTGAACTTAATTATATTAATTCATTAATTATAATTATTAAAATAAGTAATGTGAAATAACATTTTAAAATTAAATGTTAATGAAAATATCAGACCTGGATAGAAAATTTAACCATTATTAACTAAGCCTTAACATAAAATGAGAACATTCATTTTGATGTAGCATCAGCAATCTTCATCAAAGCCTGTTACTGGCAAGAATAAGATGATATTTACATATTATCTTGGTACTGGTGGCTCAAACTTGTAATCCTATCTTAACTGGAGGCTGAAACCTGAGAAATTGTAGCCAGTGTAGGCAGAAAAGTCTAAAAGATTCTATCTCCAATTTACCAGCAATAATCCAGGCTAAGTGGGCAAAGTACTGGCTGAGCAAGCAAGCCAAAACTACTCCTAACAAATAAGCACCATACTTATTACCTTTAAAAAAAATTCCTCGGTGGCTCACGCCTGTAATCCTAGCTACTCAGGAGATTGAGATCGAGGATCGAGGTTCAAAGCCAGCCCGGGCAGGAAAGTCCGTGAGACTCTTACCTCCAATAAACCATCAGAAAACAGGAAGTGGCACTGTTGCTCAAGTGTTAGAGTGCTTGCCTTGAGCTGAAGAGCTCAGGGACAGTGTCCAGGCCCAGAGTTCAAGCCCCATGTCCAATATCTTTTTCGAAGGGAATATTTTAATGAATTAGAGGATGCTTTTAGGAACTTCTTTTTTTTTTTTTTTTTTTTTTTTGGTCAGTCGTGCGGCTTGAACTCTGGGTCTGGGCGCTGTCCTCTGCTCTTCAGCTCAAGGCTAGGGCTCTACCGCTTGAGCCACAGTGCCACTTCCAAGAGAACTTCTTATACCAACTATGTGAAATACACATTTGTCCTTGCAGCACAGAACGATCTTTTAAATGAGCCCACTGATTTTTTTAATGCACATTCTCTTGCATAACCTTGTGCACTTGCCTTCTTTGACAGCAGAAGTTTAAATGCTAAGTCTCTGATTTTGCATAGTTGCATTATGATTGTGCCTGAATAGTAAAGTATATTCAAAAACATACTATTTGTAACATTTTTTAATCCTAAAACTACATTCCACAAGTTGAAAAGATTTGATTATATTCCATATGTTTCATCTTCTAATAGGCCTTTTCTGTCTTTTCCTTTTTATTCTCATCCTCACTTTTAATGATCCATCGGCTGACAGTGTCTTTACATCTAAAATGCAAAGCAGACAGATGGGCATGTCAGGGAAGAGCATGACCAAAAGCACCAGCATCAGTGGAGACATGTGCTCACTGGAGAAGAATGATGGCAGCCAGTCTGACACTGCAGTGGGTGCCTTGGGCACTAGTGGCAAGAAGCGACGCTCTAGCATTGGGGCCAAGATGGTAGCTATCGTTGGTCTATCAAGGAAAAGTCGCAGTGCTTCTCAGCTCAGCCAAACGGGTAGGAATTTTTATGTTACCTTTGATGTATACTTGAATTGTCATTACAACACATTACCCATTTTATTACAGTAATATATGGATGATGACGTGGCTCCAGGGGGGAAGAAACATTTTTTTAACTAGTTAACTTTTTTTTTAAACCTAACAGTGAATTTTATTTTGCAGTTATCAGGCAACTTACTTCTAAGTGAACCTCGGCCACCATTCTTGAAATGTGTGTCTTCGCTCCTCAGGGAGGAGGGCAAGTGTCATTTGTTAACCTTTTGTAATAATATTCTCATCTCTGGGGGTGTTTGCTTTGCTATAGGTTCTTCAAGTTGGCATCTGCCAAATTGATTTTCATTCCCAGCAACATGTAGTGAAGATGATGCCTCATATTTTGTGTGAATATATATAGTTCCCTTATTGCTGACAACCCAACTTCTTTTTCAGTTTGCAAGCAACATTTACCAGTGGTATCCATTTTCTTACCACAGCTTTCATTTCCTTATTAAAATTTCAAGCAACCATATTCTTAGGCAGCAGAGATGGAGTGTTTTCTGCTGACAGTGAAGATATTCAAAGCTTTTCTACTTTAAAAATTGGTTTCTAAATCACATCTGCCAAAATACAACATTCCTATTCAGAAAAGCCACTCTTACTAATTAAGAAATTTGTGAGTTAAAGCAATGTTGCTTTTCAAATGAGTGTTGATAATTAAACATTAAATCCCTGGTTATCTTGAAAATAATAATATCTTCTGCTTAACAAACAAAAGCATGTAATATGGTGTTTCTAATATAGCAAAATAAATTATAGGCAGCTGGATTAACTCTAATTTGTGCTTGAATACGAGGGTTCTTGTACACAGAATTAAGTCTATAAATTAACTGAATAAAATAATTTTAGGTTACATTAATTCTTGTACCTGGTTAATTCTGGTTTTGTTAACAACTGATTCTAGAAGTTAGGCCTCCTGCAGTAATATTATATTAAAGTTACTTGATGGTGTTCCTTAAATACTGTTACTATCTGTAACTTCTTACTGTGTTTACTGTTATTTTTGTTATGATAATTTTCAGGTGGTGTGTTAAAATTTCATTTCTTGTTTTAACGTAGAAATAAAAAGTTTAATTTATAGACAATGGACTTACAGAGCATTTTAGATAATTTTTTAAACTGTTATATGTATATGTATATATAATTAACACTGTTGTGCTATTATAATATATATTGGCCTTTTGATATTAAGAGGTGTTTTACATTAATTAGCAGCTAGAACTCTGTTGGATTTTCCTGTATAAAACTTGGAAAAAGCTGTAAATGTAAAGCTGCTCTGAAAACTAGCCTATAAACTAAAGAAAAAATTAGAAAACTGAAATTGAGATTAATAAGACTATAAGCTGTGGTGAAAGGCTGATCATCAGCTACCGGGTTGCAGTTAGGCAGAAACAATGTATATTGCAAAAAAGTTCTAAGAAGGGACTTCACCAATCTTCACCATAAAGACATGATAAATCTTTGAGGAGATAAATATGTTTAACCTAAATTCAACATTACATTACACAGTGTGCACATATAGTAAAACATCATATACTCCATAATGTATACAATTATATGTTAGTATAAATATTTTTAATTTTAAAATAAAAATAAGACTATAAAGAATAGGTGTTGTTAACCTCTGTAATTAATTTCATTCATTATAGCTTTTTTGATCAAATACTGAATACTTCTGATATACCAGATGCATAAAGAACAAAAATGAGTAAGATATGATTTATAAGCTGAATTACTTAAAAATCTAGTCAGAGACAGATATCTAGCCACATTGCTTTAAGAGAATATGTGAGTGGTAAAACAAATGCTCAGAGAAAGGCCACTGACCAAACTAGAATTCCAGGAATTAATTCTTACAAATGACTTCTGATAAAAGGGATCAGATCAGTGGCTAAAGTAACTGCTAACTAGGTTAAGGATAATGAGAAAGATGCTCTAGATAGAAATCATAATGACCAGGACTGAGGCATAGTATATACAGGAATGATAGGGAAAATAGTGAGCTGAAAAGCTACAGATTAGGCTAATAGATAAGCAGAGACCAGATAGTAAGAAAGCCATGTAGAGACCCGACAGTAAGAAAAGTCATGTTTGTAGGTGATAGAAAAATGTTAAAGGTTTTTAGTAAGCTTTTAATATTTGTCATTATTTGTTATCTGTAGTTTGTGGGCAAAAAATAGCCACTAGTTTATATAAAAATAATTGAACATGTACCTTACTAAAACAACACAAGAAAAACAGAGATCTTTTTCCTCTTAGAACTTACATTCTGAGGACTACAATTAAGAAGTCCTCATTTGTTAGGAAATGGAAAGACTTGGAAAAAATTATATTAAGTGAAGTAAGCCAGGCCCAGAGAAACATAGGTCCCATGGTTTCCCTTCTTTGCAACAACTAGTATATGTCTGAGTCAAGCAGAAAAGGTCAGATAAGTTGATGTTAAAGGAATGAACCCCAAGATAAGTATTTAAATGTTTTTTTCTTTCATGCAATTGTTTCTAACATATTTATAAGATGATTTCTATGTTGCTTTGTATGTCCCTCCCCCACAGTATAACCCCTGCTTTCACTGTATTTGATGTTGGTATAATTTGTGGAGGGGAAGGGCAAAAACAAATCATTTAACTAGGGATAGAGGTGGACCCCCATTGCAACAATGAGATGTACAAGTCGTTATGTCAAAAAACGAACTTAACTTTGGTGGGTTCAGGGGAGGATTGGGTCAGGGGAGGTGGGGGGAGTATGGGAAGGGATGGGAAAGGGAAACAAAGGAGGCAACAATGCTTGATAAGAAATGTACTCGTTATCTTGCCCATGTAATTGTAACTCCTCTGTACGGTATTCACACAATTAAAAAAAAAAAAAAGAAGTCCATGTCTGATAAAAAGCATTTTAGGAGGAATTAGCAAAATAGTGCAAAAATTCACATGAGAGATAAGATCCTGAACTAACTAAGTTTGAATAAAAATAGAGGTGGAAGATGTGATAGATACAGAAAAAACTTAAAGAGTACCATTAGTACTCATCATCTAACTTAAGTGATGGGTTGCGTATGAGAAGGTTAAAAAAGAAAAGATTCTGAGATGTCTCCCATATCCCTTACCTCCTAAGAGGATGATCGTGCCATTAATGAATATTGAACATATAAGAGAAGGTTGAGGAAGAATCAAGAATGGTGAATCATTGATTTATAACAGTTTGAATTTGTTTCATCTATAAAAAGTACCAAATGGAAATGTCTAAAACATACTTTCTGATGTCAGAATCAGAGACAATTGTCTGAGAGTTGTAAAGTTCATATACTTCAAATTGTGACTATGACTGAAATTGTCCAAGAAGTTAGCACTATAGATAAGAGAGAAAGATAATATTGTAAAAGACTGAATTTTAGAATTGGGTAACTGAAGAGGAGCCCAGAATAGAGACCAAGGAAGAATGATGAAAAACTAAAGCTATGGGAACATAGTGTCACAAAAATTGACACTTTTAGAAGTCAAGAAGAGAATGGTCTCTATTTCTCTTTGATCAACTTCATGTCTTTACATTTTTTACATAAATATCCCATATATCTTACTTTGGTAGTATTTTTATTATAAGATTATAGATTTTTTTACCATATACTGAAGATTCTGTAGCACCATTGTATGTGTGAGTAGTTAAAGGTTTTTATTGTCAAAAATGTTGTGATGTTAGCAGATTGAAGAAATATAATCTTGTTTCTCTATACAGAGAGCAAAATTTAAGTCTGTTATTGTCTTTACAGTTAGTCAGTGGTACCACAATGGTTAAAATCTTAATTGTTCTTAAAATGTGTTGTTATGCCCACCCCCTACTAGCTTTGACCTTTTGACAGTAGAATTCAGATTATCTTGGTTTAACTATAGAATATCTAACTGAGATTATTATGTGATTACTGGATTTTAAACTTCCTTTGAGTTTCTAAATGCGATAGTTGTATGTATATGTGTCAAGTAAAGCTTTTGTGTTTTTTTCCTCATAAAAATATGTAATGAAAAGCTGTAACAATATTTAGAACTAGAATCTTCAAATTTAACTATTTGATAAATCTAGGCAAATAATTTAGATATTAAATTATCTAAAGTAATGAACTAGTTTTATAATGTTGGTTCTATTGTTTCAACATAAATATATAAGATATAAACTAAGAAATACAATACATGTTTTCAAGCATGTTTGAATTTTTGAGGATTCATTTTATATTTTCTTCATTTTCCTGGTTTCTGTATAGAGACCTATGTACTATTAAGTTAAAGAGGTATTTCGCGATTGACATGTTATAGTACTTTAAATTTTGAAGACGGTATTTATCATTGTAAAAATAAGTGTCATTGATTCTCAAGACAAGAATAGAGTACTTATCTGCCTTCTGAAGAACAGAAAACACAACAAAATTGGATCTTCTTGAAGAATAATGAAAAGCTCTGAGTAACATCACAGTAATTGTATGTAAACAGTAATTTGCAAAGAAAAACTCTATATAAAGCTATATTAGTGTTCATACAGAATTGTAAAGTTCTATCTTTCTTCTGCTCTGCTATTTTGTGTGATCCTTTTCCTGTTATGGAAACTCAGCTTGTAAAATCAGCATTTTCAAAACAATAATTATGGCTTACAAAGCGTCATAATCCATGATTAAGCCTAAGGAGACCCAGATTCTATTACTTAACTCTGGGTTGATTAATATGCTAAATGTGGCTGTTTTAAAACCTCATCAATGTATCTAATTCATAGTTTCTTAAGGCATTAGTGTTTGCTGTCATAACAAATTTTTATAAAGGTAAAATTTGAAATGTATAAGAAAGTGGTTTGAAAATTAAAGTCACTTGGTAGATGTAACATATCAATAGTTCAAACTCTTGAAGGAATCAAGAGTTCTCTTTTGCATATGTTGATTTTCTGAGATGTCCATTAGATATCTAAGTGTAGTTGCTTTGTAAT